GCGTGGGGACGTAGAGCAGCAGGGTGCTGATGCCCAGGCCCACCTGCCGAGAAGGGAGAAGCGGTATGAGCAGCTGTGGGGGTGGCAGCGATGCACGTCCCCAGCACGGAGCGTGGTGTACAAGGTCCACAGCCAGACTCCCGCCCTCAAATTCAGACTGTCTGTGCAGTACAGTGCGGCCCTGGGTCTAGGCAACTTCCACCTCTCAGCTCCAGGCTCTTGGGGCCAGCACAGATCGAAGGTGGGGACAACTCTTTCTCATCAACGTGCTATAAAGCACTAGGGGGAGGGAAAAAAATACAAAGAAAAAAAAAAAGAAGACAGTACCTGCACGCAAGCCACAGTCAATAAGGAAGTCACAGCCATCCTGGTCCTGCAAGGCAGTGGGATCTTCCGTGAGAAGAGGTACAGTGCTGTGACTGCTGTGACCGAGGCGATTCCCTACAGAAGGGAAGGGAAACAACCACCCTTACAGAAGAGCCCAAAGGAAATGGGTGAAGTGGCCTTTGGCTGCACTTTCCATGCAGTGAAAGACATTCTATTCTGTGAGCAATATTTAACTGGAGAAATGTGTTAATGGCCAGGACCAAATCCCAGAACTCCCATGCCTGTCAGGTTAGCAACACTGAAATTTAACTAAAGTGTTCTCTATAGAGCTCCATTTTTCTCCAGATTTACTTTCTGGCTTTACTTTCCAACAGCTTTTCCTCATTTCTTCAAGTCACTAGGGGTTATTTCTGCCCTCTCCCTGTCCACCTTGACAGCTAAGATGGAAGCTTATGTGATTTTCACCACTCGGCTGTAGTTCACCAGCATAACCTTGCTGTGCAGGTCACCCCAGGGGATTCCTCTAAGTCATTTAATCTTTCTTTTTAGTCTTAGCAGGGATTAGCGCACAGCAGTATTAATAGTGGTATTTAGTATTTGGAGTGCTCTAACTAGCCAAGATATTTTCATTGTAGGGTGCTACTGGTGTAAAGCAAGTTCAGAAGTGCTGGAGGAAGCATTCAGTATCGGGATTTCCAAGTTTCGTTCCACACAACTTTCCCAGACCTTTCAATAGTGGGGTGTCCCCTGGTCTGTGGCTCATGTTACAGAAAAGAAGGCACAAAAAAATGAAGTCTGTAAGTTGTGCAAGAGGAAGACGTCCTTAAGGAAGGAGACCATATTAAAAATAAATAAGAGTGCTAAACTTCCTCTTTCTGCAGAAGCAAACAGGTAACATATTCTCAGGACCTTCGGATGCCCTGGATTATCACTCAAGCTGACAGACCCATGGCCCAAAGAGGACAGCTTGGCTGTCAAGAAGCAGCATAGATGTAGCAGGAAGACAGCACTTACCAAGATCCTGTGATCAAACTGTACAGTTGTGGGATTCTCAAAGATATTTCTCAGCACAGGGGAGAAGGCAAGGAGATCTTCTGGGATCCAGCGCTCCCCCATCTTGGGGAAGGAATTGTACACAAGGCCAGCATCCAGCCCTGCCACAAAGGCACCTGCGATTCCAGAGCAGAAGACGAGATTACCAGAGTAGGCAAAGGTGGCATTCCAGGTTGCACAGCTCTGAATCAAGAGCTCAGCTTAACCTTGAATTTCTTTTAGAAATGTAACAGAGATTACACAACAATAGCCAGGCTGGACGGTGCACCTCCACCTGCCCAGGAAAGACCACTAAGGGCAGTACTTGGCTCTAAGGTCCTTGAGAGCAGTAATTTTCCCAGAGTACATGAGGGGGTTGCTCACAGCCCTTGCCAGACCAGAAAAAAAACCACAAAGCAGAGAGGAACATGCTGCAGGTGGGGCAGCAGAAAGAAACAGCCTTACCTGAAAGAGCAGTCAGAAAGATGAGAGCGGTAGTGCCGTGAGCGCATTGCCTCAAGCGAAGGAGCTGATGGGTTTCAGGTAACTGTGAAATACAAAAATAAATAACCAAAGCAAAGCATTTCCAGCCCTGCTGGCAGCCAGTAAGAAAACCCTTCACTGCGCATATAGGCCAACAGGTTGGCCTATGTTTTACAGGAGAGATCACCAGGCAGTACAGTCACGCTTCAGCAGTTCCTCAAAAACATAACTAATCAAGTTAGTTATGCAGAAACTGAAGCAGCCAATAGACAGTCACTAGCATAAACTGTTCTCAGCCCAGCCTGGCGCACCCCTGCCTGAGCTCACACAAACTCTGAGACTAATCCCTTTTGAGCGGAACAGCACGAGGCAGAGGAAGCATCCCATAACCAAGGTGTTTACAGAAAGGATTATTTTGCAATGCAGAATTAGATAGGAGTTGGGAGCAGAGACTAATGGAAGCACCATCAGCCTGCACGCCCTCTCCTCAGCCTTCAAATCTCACCCCAGCCCTCTGGAAGGACACCACCCCACGCTTTTGACTCCTAGCAGCCCGCCTTGTACCTTGTGTTGTGGGAGCAGCACAGACAGCCCTGTCCACAGGCTAGCAGAGTACAGGACTAGTGCAGAGCCGAGATGTGCTGCGAGACGGTACTGACTGACCCGAGGAATGTCGTAAGAGTCTGGCTTCTCTTCCAGCCCGCTCTTCACCATGTACCATCCCAGCAGCCCCTGACAAAATGGGGAGTTAGAGCCAGACAGGGCAGCAGCAACTGCTAAGAACAGACAAATATCAAAGGCAAAGTAATTTGATTCCTCCCCCTTCAACCAGCTACCAGCATCGACACCCCCCAGGCTTTCAAGAATCCCACTGTCTCAACTACACTCTGTCAGAAGACGCTCACAGGAGGTGCAGCTCCTAACCCCTGGGGCAGCAGAGCTGGCTTACCTGGAAGCAGACCAGCCCGCAGAGCGCAAGAACGCGGCCCTTCATGGGCCGGCTGAGCCAGCCCTTCCGCCAGAAGTAGGCGGCGGGCAGGATGTAGGCCAGGCCCACGACGCGGCCCCACATGCGGTGCGAATACTCCATGTACCAAATGAACTTGAATTCCGTCAGCGTCATGTCACGGTTCAGGCTGTTGAAGACAGTAAAACAGAACGGCTTTACGTGATGCAGCAGCCTTGTACCCTGTCTTGCACAGCAAGGGATCACCTTCCTTGGAAAAAGGAAGTGACAGCAGAGGCGGCACCACTGGATGGGCTCTACGTGCCTGCCCAGCAATGGCAGGAAATGCCTCCCGTCTTACAAAGATTCCTTGAACAGCTCAGCCGCAGGAGGGATGCTCCCAGCCCACCCTTCTTCCACTTTTTCATGCTCACATTTTGAACTCGGGAAACTGCTGGTACTTGTGGAACTCAGCTTCCCACTCCTGCTGCGTCCTTGGGGGTTTCATCTCTTTCACCAGGTGCCAGTCAACCATGGAAAGGCCCGACTCGGTCAGCCTGCGGGCAGACAAGACACGCAGGCAGGCACAAGTCACTCCCTGGCAGCACGTTTTTTTTTTGAAGCTTCGGGCTGCCACAGGCCAGCCTTGAACTCACAGCTGGGAACAGGATGGAGATCAGTCTCTCCACCATCGCACAGACCCCATGTTACCGCAAACGCGTAAGAGAAAGTTCCCCCCAGCTGGCATCAACGCCCCGCGGCCGGTCTCCCTGGCA